TGTCGATGTGAGCATCCACACTAATAAAGAACAGGAGAGCATAGTCGATGCTTTACAGCATCCACACAATAATAAAGAAATAGGATAACATAGTGTGGATGCTTCATCAGCATCCACACAATAATAAAGAAATAGGATAACATAGTGTGGATGCTTCATCAGCATCCACACAATAATAAAGAAATAGGATAACATAGTGTGGATGCTTCATCAGCATCCACACAATAATAAAGAAATAGGATAACATAGTGTGGATGCTTCATCAGCATCCACACAATAATAAAGAAATAGGATAACATAGTGTGGATGCTTCATCAGCATCCACACAATAATAAAGAAATAGGATAACATAGTGTGGATGCTTCATCAGCATCCACACAATAATAAAGAAATAGGATAACATAGTGTGGATGCTTCATCAGCATCCACACAATAATAAAGAAATAGGATAACATAGTGTGGATGCTTCATCAGCATCCACACAATAATAAAGAAATAGGATAACATAGTGTGGATGCTTCATCAGCATCCACACAATAATAAAGAAATAGGATAACATAGTGTGGATGCTTCATCAGCATCCACACAATAATAAAGAAATAGGATAACATAGTGTGGATGCTTCATCAGCATCCACACAATAATAAAGAAATAGGATAACATAGTGTGGATGCTTCATCAGCATCCACACAATAATAAAGAAATAGGATAACATAGTGTGGATGCTTCATCAGCATCCACACAATAATAAAGAAATAGGATAACATAGTGTGGATGCTTCATCAGCATCCACACAATAATAAAGAAATAGGATAACATAGTGTGGATGCTTCATCAGCATCCACACAATAATAAAGAAATAGGATAACATAGTGTGGATGCTTCATCAGCATCCACACAATAATAAAGAAATAGGATAACATAGTGTGGATGCTTCATCAGCATCCACACAATAATAAAGAAATAGGATAACATAGTGTGGATGCTTCATCAGCATCCACACAATAATAAAGAAATAGGATAACATAGTGTGGATGCTTCATCAGCATCCACACAATAATAAAGAAATAGGATAACATAGTGTGGATGCTTCATCAGCATCCACACAATAATAAAGAAATAGGATAACATAGTGTGGATGCTTCATCAGCATCCACACAATAATAAAGAAATAGGATAACATAGTGTGGATGCTTCATCAGCATCCACACAATAATAAAGAAATAGGATAACATAACAATAATTGGATATTAATGAATGATTGGATAACATAGTATGGATGCTGAATCAGCCATCCATACAAAGAAGAAGATAAGAGTGTCGATGTGAGCATCCACACTAATAAAGAACAGGAGAGCATAGTCGATGCTTTACAGCATCCACACAATAAGATTTGATTTGATTTGATTTATTTATTCTTTCAAACATGTAACAACAGTCAGTATGTAATCACACGTAATTCCAGACATATCCACAAAAATATTTTCAATTTGCTTATACCTAGTACATGCTTGAACGGAGTAGGAAGAAGTTAGACTTATCTA